CCGAAACATTGAATTGACTCTTAAACTGTAAATACATTAACCGGCGGGTAATTGCAATTTTTAAGTTTTGTTTTTATCTGGTAGGTTTGAACATTTTTAGAAAGGCATGCGCTTTCATTTCATTCATTATTTCATTCATTATATAAAATTAGGTGGTCCTAGAACACTGACATGGTTACGTTTTCGTACGTAAAGCAATTACTACAGTACCATAATGTTAACCATTCGACTAATTCCAATTCTGCGTTTCGCCATCTCGTCGCGTACTAACGAGTCGAAAATTAACTAAACTAAAGCACAATATCTTGTAATGTAATAATAAAAGCATCTATACATAAGTATTTAATTCATACACACACGCAAATGATAAATAAGACGTATATATATATATATATATATATATATATATATATATAAAATCCGTTATATATACTGGTTAAAAATCATTCTCTCTGTCATATAATACGTTAAATACCAGATGAAATTAATTAATTTGTTTGTTATATTTAAAAATTGTTTGTTGTACAAGAGTGTGGCTGTGTATATACTTTTCCTTGCTTCAATTTAGATTCGGTGATATAATTGAAGAATATTCAAAAGATATACCAAAGAATAAATTGTATGTATTATAAATTTTTGAAATCCGTTTTTAAATGTTGAAAATATTATTAATTAATTTAATTAATATTGTTGGTCTGTGTCATTCAAATATTCCATCATACCTAACACATTCACACAAATACACACATACACACTTATACACGCGCTAATGAACGAACACGCACATATACACATACACACAGTGTGGTGTGTGCACTTCGCACATATCAATTCTTTCTTTATGTCGTCTATGTATGCACATAAGTGTATATGAACATATACTATAGATATGTTTTTACAATCATACACATTGTTCAAGAATATAAATATATACATATACATTCACACACACACTGATAACCACTAGCGCAGATGTATAGTATATAAACATACATGTAGTATATGTACATATGTATATATATATATATATAAATGCACATGCATATATATGTTATATGATTGTATGTATTATATGATATATATATACATATGTGTATGTTTTTAATTGTATATGTATTATACATATATATAAATATATATGTAGGCTGATAGATTTATTCAAATAGAGTTTTTCCATACATAGAAGAAAAATACATACATAATGTATAGTCGCGATGTACATTGGCCAAACATATTCGTTTGTGTTACTTTATAAATAAGCACACTGGCACATCTATATATGTATACTGCAAATATATATATACACACACTCACACACACACACACACATATATATATATACATATATACGTATGTATGAATCTACACAAATGAATATATATATGTGTGTGTATATATATATATATATATATATATAATATATGTGTATGTATACACACAAAGTTGAATCGATATATGCGCATGTATATATAGATATCAGGAAATATTATATAGAGGTTGTTGTATATCATAGATTTTATACGTGATGCAGTTTTTTAATAAGTGTAGAATTTGAAAAGCGCCTGATAAAGCGTGGCAACGAATTTCCTTCGACACCGGGCGACAGGCCTAACGACTGGACAATGAAGGTCATCAGCAATAAAAATGCTAAGGTACTCTGGCATGGATTTGTTTCATTTTTTATTGTCAATCAAATTCTTTTAAATATTCTATACAATATACCCATATATTATGACATATATGACATGTATTGAATTTAGTTTTTGTGATATTACTTCCTAATATTATATCTATATAAATTATGTGACCCCATCAGACCATAGTGTATAGTTTGTTCATTTATTCTTTTTATCACTGTTTATCAGTTTATCCATATAAAAGTTTATTAACAAAAGCATCAGTAAATCTATCATTTGATGTCACTACAGTACATACCCAATAATATGATAAAAATCATTAAATTGATTCATTTAAACTCTTTATAATATATAATTGAATACCTCTACTCCAAATTGATAGCATTGGTACCAGAATCGCTAAATTAATATAAATCTTAAGTTTCATAAAATAGTATTTAATGATAATAATAACGTGATTGTACCATTGTTGAACAATACAAAGGTCAAATTCAGCCTGAATTAAACACATTTCATAAAAGCTATGTAGAGCTGTTATAACTCATAAGTCAATTCTTTAGAAAGAAGATGTTATTGGAAATTATATTTCAAAATCAAAATGAAAGCTCCTTGCTGTTTCCATTTCAAAATGTTAATCAAAACAAGATATTATTATTGCCCATTGTTATAAACATCAAGCCCATGTTAATATATCTGATCAATAGATAGAATCGCGTTTAGGAACGTAAATAAATAAATGTTAGTTAAAATTTTTGATTCAAACGAAACAGGAGTTAATAAACAATAAAAATAAATAATTCAATTCAATTTTCAATAAATAATAAATTTAAATAAGTTAGAACTTTTAATATTGAATCTATAATTAGATTTTAAACAGGCAATTATCTATGTTATGAACTATGACTGCTAATGTGGACGATAATTGTTAGGCTTAATGAAAAACTCACAATCTATAGAAATAAATAAATAAATTAATAAATAAAAAAGTCATTAAATGAATCTTTTAATAGAGATATGCCACATATGGAATATTTTATACATTTATTCATATATATAAATTGAAAAAATGAGTTAGAATATAGGTGAGAATAGTTGATCTGTCACCATATATATATATATATATATTCTTTTATCACTTATTGTTTATCTTTGTTCGAATTTTATTCCAATTTCTGTTTCGGTGGCCCAACAAGTGCAAACTTCGGGTCTCCTAGTATTATGTATTTAATGATACTTTACTGAATAAAAGATTATTTGAATTGAATTGAATTGAATATATATATATGTAGAATTTATAGAATATTGTAAAAATTATGGTCTATTACCAACATATATATATATGTATATATATTATGTATTGTATAATTATTTACTAACATAGATGTTGACTAATTGTTTGATGCGTAGCAATTTTCTGATTTTCTGATGAGCTTAATAGTTTAACAAAAAAATCAATCCTGTCTAATCAATCAATTTGTCTGAACAGTCTTTGCTACATTTAATAATTCAATAAAATCATTTTGAAAATAGAAGTTTAACAAAAAATTTCAAACATCCTTTCATTGGCCACGAATTTAAAAAATGTTAAATATAAATTTTAATGATATCAAAGGTTTCATAACTCTTTTCAAATTTAGATATAATTTATGATTATTCATTGAGATTTCAATATTTTAATCTTATCGTTTTTTTGTAATAAATATAAATAATTAACACAAATTAGATTAAGTATTGGTCATTTTGTAGCAGTAGTAATAAGGATATCCCTAGGTTATTGAATTGTCATGTTTGATAAAAATATAATGAACCAATATTGAGACATTTTCCACTTTATAATTAAATTATATTTTTATTCATAAACTTTGTGTTTTTTATTTGCAATTATTTTCTAGTCAGTCAATTTCAAATTTTTATCTGAAATTAGTATAGATTTCTTTTAATTTATTTTATTTAGAGTGAGTACTGAAAACTTGCGAATAGCTATTTTTTCCAGAATCATTCATGCAAAAGTAACTGTAGCAATATCGAGTAGAAGTGTTTAGATTTCAGTTGAAGGTTGCAAAGTTTAAAAATGCATTGTATATTACCTAATACAGCTTTTATAAATTCCTTTATTAGAAGCAAGTATTAATATATGTGCCTACTATTCAAGTAAGATTTCTTATAATTTCTTTCAAATATAAAATTCCTTTTTGAACCGTTTCAATAAGGTTTTCAAATTTTCTTTATCAAATTCTTATTTAAAATGTTACTTGAGTTCTTATAAATCAATCAAATACTCATCTCAACTAAATCAATACAAATAAGCTTCACACATCAAATTTGGTCCTATTTGCTCTGTTCATATCTTTTATTGAACCAAATACTTTTCCAGTGTTATGAAATTGCGATATCTATTTCTTAATTTTAATGCCTTTTAATTGTGTAAAATTTTCATTTTTCACCTACAACATTTAAGATTTTTGGTGACTCGTGTGGCAAACATGGGACGTACACTTTTTATCCTGGTCTCCAGTTCACTGCCCACAATCAAACACATTACTTAACTCTCGGGAAATTTTTCTACGCCCTTCTTAACTTTCCGAGTCCTTGTGGAGCAGCACCGAAATCTTTGAAGGCGGTTGGAGAGTTGCAGTTGGTGTGGCATGACAAAAACCATCAAGATGGCGATCTCTGCAGCGTCAAATTTTACATCAAACCGGAAGACTGTCCAGACGGGAGGCAGCCTCATCATGGACAGGTCAGTTGATTGATTGACTGTTTGATTGATTGAAAAATTGATTTATACACTGTTGCATTTCAACATTATTCTTTATTTTAGATACATTTGTCATTGTTGAGTTGTGTGACTTATTTTTCTATAACTCACTGAGCAGTCGACATATTTTGAAACCTCTCCAATGTTTTGATATATCGATATATTCGTAAATGTTGGGACACGTCATACTTTCATGTTTGTTTTTTCAATGTTCACCATATTGGGAATGAATGGTTTTTGTTATAATTTTATTTTCTAGTTCTATTGATAACATCTTACAATTCTAAAACCTCGATGTATAAAAACTGTTAGTGCTGTTAACATGTTAAGCTCAAATAATGGATGTCAAACGGTCGTCGTTGAAAAGTAAACTGTCAAATGACATTAAGTGGCAGAATTGCTGATCGCCCCACAGAGAGAAACATTTTATTTTGTTGTTGCTATATACGATATTGTGCGTGCAAACGTCCAGCAGAGATATTCACGCGTCATCTTCTTTATTGAATCGATTTCTTTCTTACATTAACTTGAAAAATGTTAAAATTAGCAATAAGATTTTCTGTTTCTTTTCAACAAACAAATAATTATTTGTTTTGGCTCACCCGCGCTCAAACGCACATCATGAGCAGCCAAATTTCTCTGGTATTTGCATTTAACTTTTGTTTAACAAGTTGATATTCGACTAAAACCGTCACAAAGTATTAATTTTTTAAAGTTACAACATCGTTAGTCAACTTAGTCAAAACACACACACACAAACACACACACACACACACACACACACACCAACACATCACACACACACACATCACACACACACACATCACACACACACGTACACACACACACACATATATATATATATATGTGTGTGTGTGTGTGTGTGTGTGTGTATATGTGTACTACTATATATATATTAAGCTCAATTATATGTATATATTTATATTATATATATATATATATAATAGAACTTAATAAAAATAAATAAATGTTTAGATGTTTACGCTTAAAAAGTAAGAGAGTGGTATAGAAAGAGAAAGGGAGAAAGAGAGAGAGTGAGAACGCTTGGAAAGTCGCAAAATAAAGTGTTTCTATTAAATTGATGATTACCTCTTTCCTACAATACTGCATATATTTATTATTTACCTTACGTACCTACTGCTCAATCATTCGATATTTACAACCCAATTTCTTTTGTCATTGTACGCCATAGTTATATTATTTACATATAAATCTTTTTGCTCAGAAGTCCTATATGTTTAAATTAAACATTATTATTTCATTAAAATGAAAGATTGCTGGTGAATTCGGTGATCTCCATTTAAAGCCTTTAGATATTTTATTTAACATTTGAAGTTTATTTAATTGAATTGTTATTCTGAGTTAAACAATGCTATAAAACACATTCATTGTATGGCACATGAAAAGTTTTTTAATGTTTCAAGCCGTATGTTCAGCAAACTAAGAAGCTATTGTCAATAATAAAATCCACTCGCAGCTTAACATTCTATTTCAATGCTCACATTTGTTCTTATGATTTTCTACGTGTCATTATTATTACTGTGACTTGTTTTGATATTGCGTGGGACAACTTGATTATTATTATTCATATATTATTCATAAGCGCTCTACTGCTATTTCTAACTTTCTATATTTAACAAATAAACTTGGAGATTGTAGATAACATCAAGGCTGTTTTTTTCAATTCATTGTTGTTAAGTCTTCTGTTTGAAATTGTTTAACAAGAGGTTTAACCTTTTTTAAAAAAAACCTTTTTTTCGTATAGTCACTCTTATCTTTACGAAATAACATAAGATGACGATGGTATGATGTTAGAGATGAAATTGATAATATGATAATTGTGTTGGTGCCAAATACTATATCATCACTTATAACAATTTTATTATTTTTTAACAATCAATCAAATTAAAAAATTATTTTTTCTTTTTTAGTACAATGAAAAAAATTTATTTTTTTTTTTCAATTTGTTTCAATTTTCAAATCACTTTCTCAACAAGAACATACAGCTGAGTCCAAATTGCAAAAAGCGATTTTAAAAATCTAATATTGCTAATAAACAAAGCGAAATGATTAGAAAATGAACAAATGCAACATAAAAATACCAGACGACTTGCAATTGAATAGCAAGTGATTATTGAATAAACAACAATTAAGTATGTAAATAACAAAATAAATTAGTAAAGAATAAGTAACAGATAGCCAAGAACCAATAAACAATGAATAAACAAATACCAAAAGAACAACAAAATGCAGCAAATACGTATAATTATAGTTTTAGAAAACAACCCGGAATGGCATCTGTACATTATTAGAGCAAAACAAAGAGCTGATAAATTAAAAATAGAATTTATTATTGAAGAAAGGTTTATTATTATTATTAATTACCATAATTAATTATATGACCCAGAAACAACTAGCCATTATTTCAGGTAATTGATTTTATTAGCACTTAGCAGACGCATATATAGTGATTAATATGATTAGCAACCAAGAAAATATTAAACAATAGGAACCTTTATAAATGAACAAATATTAAAAAATCATCAGAGAGATATGTATTTATTGGCATCACATAATGATGATATGTTTTAAATGCTGCGGTTCACGATTTTGTTTCAACGTGCTCCAGACAGTCAAATCCAGGCAGAAATTAAGTCAGAGTCCAGGTTGAAAATGACAATTCATTCAGCAACCAATGTGTTCTTAAAAGTATAATAAAATATAAACCAATTATTATCTTATTTAATGCTGCGAATGAAATTAAAAGAGCTAATCTTAATGTATTCAGACACGTAAACAATATGTGTAATAGCGAACACGCCGTGTATGTACGTATATGCTATGGACACACTGTTTTTCTATACACAACTATTCTTAATATGATGATACATACAGCACAGCATACTTGCATAACGTTTAACTGAGAAAGCAGCACAAATTATTATTGCTAAGTAGCAGTATTATTAATAATAATGATAATAATTGATGGAGCAATTAATTGCAATTCTGATTGATGGTTGACTGCTATTTCGTATTACGCACGTTAACGATCATTGTTTCGTTATTTCAATTTCCTTATATAAAGGCTTTCAGTGGAATTTATATTGCATAATAAAAAAGAACATTTGAATTTTTTAAAAATCTTTAAAATAATTTTGTTTTCATCTCCCTATTAGAAGAAATAAACTTTAAAATGATAATTCAGGGACAAACACACTGACTGCACATCATTTAACATTTGTTGCAGCCTCATTTACAACCCAGCTATGAAATTATGAAACAATTACAAAAAAATGCGACAATTTTCCCAAGTCGCTTTCAATAATATCTATAGATAATATATATTATGATATTATTATATAGATATTAATAGTCAACGTTTCAAAATTGAAAGAATATATTTTTTTATAAAAACGTCGTCCGTCCAAGATGTTTCAACATGTTGAACATGCCTAATTTTCTACATGAGCTTCATTTTCAATATTTTTCAGTTGAATCACCCTTGAAAATTTACTGATGAATTCATTTTTTGCAGTTTTTCTTTTGTTGCAACTAAATCATAAATTGATATGAATTCCATTGTGTTTTAATAATAACTTCTGTAACTTTTCTACAGTCTAATATATGGAAAACAAACTTAAAACATATTTCTCAGCTTGACATGTTCTTAATTTTTCTATTTGTTTCCGATTTAATTCCAATGAATTCACTCATTCATTATTCAATATTCATTTATTTTTTTCTAAAATTCATGTTGTTATAAAAATGTTTGCATGGTTATAGAAAGCAAACCATTTACAAAAACATTTGGTTTGTTCATAATCATTTTTGTATGGCGGAATATGAAATTGTTTTCTCAGCATCCAGCATCTGCTTATAGGTTGGATGGAGTCATGGTGGATGTAACGATAACATCATTAGCATTAGCGTAATCACAAGAAACAATTATTGAAGACAGAAACATCAAAAATTATTCTGATGACTAATTTAACAAAACAATGAAGATATAAATAAGAATCCATGTGTAGTTTAGTAAGTTGAACAATGATATTGAAACCATAACGGGCTCCTACGTATGAGATAAAGCCATTTAGTTATCGTAGGAGGTTGTTAATTTTCTCGCCAATGAAATTGTACAAATGTGTAAAATTGAAAGTTTCTGTAGCTTATTAGTATAAATTGAAATGACTTAATAAGCCAAGAATGCTTTCATACGTTGAATAAATAATTGTTGTTAATTTTCAAAAGATGTTTTTATCAAAAAGCATTGATAAATAATAAATATAAATAGAATGTGAACATGTTCATTTTAACCATTTGGCGTTACTTTGTAAAAATCTTAATTTATTGTGTGTCAAATGTGACATTCATACATATAAACACGAAATAATATGAGTTTAATTTCTCAGGTGCACGCACCCATGATGCAAAAAAAGTTTTAAAATAGCATCTGCCTGATTTGTGCGTGTGTATGTAAATTTGTTGTATGTGTTTTTAATTGATAGACAATAAATTCTAAGAAGTATATACCTATTAAATTTTGTATGTGTTTAATATGTGTTTAATACCTGTATTCCTTCATTAATTATTTCTCTCTTGTCTCTCTCTCTCTCTCTCTCTCTATATATATATATATATATATATATATATGTATAGATACTTAAAATGTTTTACATATGTTCATATATAAAATATAACGTTGCACAATGAAAATTATAGTTAAGAGAATTGAATGTTCAAATATGGCATACAATGTTTATATTTATAGATGAATAATTTCATTGTTTCATATATATATATATATATATATATATATATATATATAAATAAATAAATAAATAAATATATATATATATATATATATATATAACCACAAATATATATATAGTAAGATGAATAATTTATATTTAAATATCTGGGTTGTTATATATATATGTATGTATGTATGTATGTATGTATATATATATATATATATATATATATATATATATATATATATATATATATATAAACAAAGCAAAACAAAACTGCCTCAGACAAAACTGACTACAACACCAAATCGCGCACTTACTCAACCAGATTTTCAAGAAATTACAAAATTTCAAGAAATCACAAAAGACCCAACTCCTCACCTAAAGACTAAGCTCAAGGCAATAATAAGAAAAATTAACAAAAACATACCTCAAGAAAAAATCAAGCTACTCCAAGGCGAATACTCACCTGGATACTTCTAAAGCAACATCAAAACGCACAAAAATAACAACCACCCTTGACCTATCGTCAGCCAAATTTTAACAGTAACATACCCTATTGCAAATATTTTAACAAAATCCTGACCCCATACATTCCTAATAACTTTAATTTTCAGTCCTCACAGGAGTTTATCATTCTATTGATCACTAACAAACCATCAAATTATTGCGTCTCTAAATGTCGAATCTCTGTTTAAAAATGCTTCCGTCCACGACATAGTTGATATTATCATCAATAGTGTTTATCACTCAGACAACGCCCTTTCAAAATACCAAAAACACATCTCATATCTCTTCTCCAAATCTGCACCACCGAAACACCTTTTCACACTCCACAAACAAGCTATACAAGCAAATTGACGGTGTAGCCATGGTCTCACCACTCGGTGTCCTATTCAAAAATTTTTTTAAAGACATCTTGAGAGTAAAACGTTTATAGACAATCCGGAATTAAAAACAAACATTTATGCCAGATATGTTGACGATATCTTTGTCGCATACGATGATCCGAATCAAGTCAACCAGTTACTAGCAACCCTGAACCAATCAAAATTGAATTTCACCATCGAGCACGAAAGTGAACATTTATTGCCATTTCTGGATGTTTTGGTAACGCATGACGAAAAAAGATTTACAACTGCCGTATACGTCAAAGCAACAAATAAAGGTATTTGTTTAAATGGGTTAAGTAAATGTACAGAACAATTCAAAGTACAATAAAATCCTTCGTGAACCGTGCATTCACGCATTCATCCTCAACTGAAGATCGCAATACGAAGCTGAAAAAAAATTACTTATCTACTAGTAAGCAATGGTTGCAAAAAATCATCTTTTGAGACCACCATTCAACGGAGACTACAACAAGATAGCAATATATTCAAAAACAACGATGACAACGACATAATCCTATATTACAGAAATCATGTGTCAATGGCATATAAAATAGACAAAGTCGTCCTCAAACAAATCATTAAAAAAAAGGTTACACCAATCAATGATACTAATAAAATATAACTCAAGATATACTACAATAATTGTAAGACATCACAATTGGTCTTAAAGAATAACTGTACTCCTAAAG